GAGTACCTAAGTAAACCCAGAGCCGCCAGTTCGGAAGACATTTTAGAGTGGTGGAGGACGCATGAGACAGAATATCCGACTTTATCGAAGATGGCCCGTGATTTAGATTATTTTCTAAAGCATCATTAGTAAATAGAAATCATAGAAATAGGTTAAGTGATGAGTCAGCCATATGGTTACTTTGTATTAATTCTTGGTCAAAAGAATTAATATAAAGTAACAGTAATGTCAAAGCTGTTGTGTACTGTTATGTAATTTAATTTGTATTGTATTTTATTTTTTTATTTAAATAAATGGTAAATTGTATAACTCTTTTATTCCATTTCATATAAGGGTCTATCAATCTCTTTCTAGACAGATAATGTTCTTTATAATACAGTCAAGTTATTATTATTAATTTGTTTTTTATATGTTTTGACTAAGTTTTAGCACATGTAAGCTTATTAAATGTAAACGTTTATTAAAAAACAAATTCCCGTGGCCGTGAGACTTGGTAGACAGCTCAGTTGGTTAGAGCATCGGCACGGATCGCTTAGGTCGTGGGTTCAAACCCCACCTGGTATTAGTTGATTTTTCGAATTTCTCATAAATGTTTAGACATTTATTAATTTGGTTGGTCTTTCTATGGCTATGTCAATTCAAGCCCAAAATGTGCCTACTCTGTTAAGTTGTTCTAAGATCTAAAGTAACGTTTAATAAATAACAATAGGCTAATAGGTAATTGCGAGACTTGCGAGACTCTTGCTGCAAGACCAAGACCAAGAACAAGACCAGGTGTATTGGCGCAAGACCAAGACCAAGACTGGCTAAGTCCCGTCTTGTTCTTGCATTTGGGCAACACTACAAACAACACACACACGCACCCACATGCACGCACGCACGCACGCACATATACACACACACACACACGCGCGCACACACACACACACACACACACACACACACACACACACACACACACACACACACACACACACACACCAAAATCACCAAAATTGTATGGGTTACCAAAAAATACACAAGCCCAATGCTCCATTACGTCCCATAGTGAGCCAAATCGATTCACCAACTTACAGATTGGCTCAACACTTAGCGAAAATACTCTCACCGCTCAGGGGACATACAAGAGCACACATAAAGGATTCCTACCATTTTGTCAGCGAGATTAAAGACCTACATCTGGCAGACAATGAAACTATGGTCAGTTTTGATGTGCAGTCATTGTTTACATGCTTACCTGTTGAAGACTGCATCTCAATTGTAACTAGAAGGCTGGAAGAAAACAACATGCCCGTAGAATATGCAGTATTACTCAGACACTGCCTTACATCTGGCTACTATTTGTGGAAGAAGTTTTACTAGCAAGTAGATGGTGTGGCGATGGGCTCACCTGTACCTCCCATTGTCGCCGACATATTCATGGAAGACTTTGAGGAGAAAGCCCTGCTTAGTTCTCCCATAAATCCAAGATTCTACAAGCGGTACGTAGACCACACTTTCACAATTCTACCTTTAGATAAAGTAACTGCATTTTTAGACCATCTTAACTCTACAAATTCTAAAATTCAGTTCACAATGGAGTTAGAGGCAAACAATTCCTTAGCTTTTCTATATGTGTTAGTAATTCGGAATCCTGATAACACCTTGAGCCATACTGTGTATAGAAAAAAGACCCATACAGATAGATATTTAAACGGTGATTCTCACCACCATCCTTCACAGTTACTACCGTGGGTAAATCTTTGTTTCAGAGAGCACGAGGGATCCGTGACAGTAAACACCTGGCTGCAGAGCTCCACCATGTCAAGCAAGTTTTGCATGACAACAAGCTTCGAGTCCCGCGCCTACGTCACAGTAAACGAGTGAAACCGGCCACAGTCGAGCGTGTACCTGCTGTACTGCCATATGTTAGAGGAGTCACTGACAAGATTGGCTACATCTTGAAGCGCGCTTCCATCAAAACATACTTCAAGCCGCTGAAGAAGATTGGTCAGTTTTTACCATCAGTCAAGTGTAATGTCTCTCTGCAAGATGCAGGAGTGTACAAGCTTGATTGTGAATGTGGTTTCTCCTACATAGAACAAACTAAAAGATCAATAAAAACCCGCGTTAAAGAACATATAGCTGATGTGAAGAATCGACGCTCCGGGAAGTCTGCAGTCTGTGAACACGTACAGGATCGGCCCCGTCACTACATCAGATTTGATAGACCGCAAATCCTCGCTAAAGAACACCGATTCCTTCCAAGGATGATTCGCGAGGCTATTGAAATCAAAAAACATCCTAATTTCAATAGAGAAGATGGCTGGGTGCTACCATCTGCTTGGGATCCTATAATAAATAAAATTAAATCCCAACCCAAGCATACAACTGCTAGACTCCATAATACCATAAGTTCATACCGCATAGATCGGAACAAAAGTTAAATTTTAATCTATGGTAACCGCGGTTAACTATGACATATGGACGTTGAACATCTCAGTCCTGCCCGTGACCATGAGTGCTGTAAAGCGTTCGAAACGTCGGGTATTTATAAAGTCAAATATACGCGATAAATTCCGTAAAAACTAGTATTATTTCAATGTGTAGTGTTCGCGTAAATATAAGAAATCATTATATAATATTGTTTAACCTTGTTTTCTGCGAATTGAAATAAATAAATTCAAATTGAAAAAATAAATTAATTGAAATTGAAATTATAAAATACTTACTTTATTTTATAATTTCAATTTAAAAAATTTGAAAGTTGAAGAATGCGGATTAAGAATGGGTAAGTTAACCAAATCAAACAATCAAATCCAACGACGCCTTTGTACGCCGATGATCAAGTTATTGCAACTTGCAACAAAACACGAGTTGCAATAACTTGATCTATTTGTGAAATAAGAATAGAAGGGGAGTTGATCGAGCAAGTAGATGAGTTTGTACATTTGGGCTGCGTATTTAGCAGGGATGGGAGATATGATAAGGATATAACGACGAGTGAACGCAGGAAATAGAGTAAATGGGGCCCTACACTTTATTGCGAAGAGTCAGAATGTGTCAAAAAAGGCACGTATGGCAATTCACAATGCTATGTTGGTCCCTACTTTTATGTATGGTAGTGAAAGTTGGGTGTGGCAGAAGAAGCACGAGAGTAGAATAAACGCAGTAGAAATGCGGTCGTTAAGGAGTATGTTAGGGCTGAATCTGTATGACAGGGTGAGAAATTGTGTGATACGAGAATAGCGTGGTTTGCAAGATGATGTTGTGGCCAGGATTAAGAAAGGAATGCTTAGGTGGTTTGGTCATGTTGAAAGAGTGAATGAGGAAAGAGTGACAAAGAAAATTTATGTTGCAGGAGTGAATGGCAGAGTCGGAAAGGGACGTCCTAGGCGAACATGTATCGACCAAATTAGCGATTTATTGAAAACGGGCCAAATTAGGAGTAAACTTAACCGACGAGCATGTGTGCATAGGTATATGGACGTGAAGGAGGCGAGAGATGTGTGTCAGGATCGTGCCAAATGGAAGTATGTAGTCTCTGCCTACCCCTCTGGGTGACAGGCGTGAGTGTTTATTTGTTTTATGTGTAATATAACTTATTTAAAAAAAATCACCTTATTGATTAAAAATCAGCTACGGGCAAATAAGGACGCCATTTCAACACGTCGTAGTCTTTTGTACAACTGTTGGTATAAGTATACCGGATGTTTGTGAAATGCTCCCGAAAAAGAAGACAGACGATAGTAGGACAGTACCTTTGGTGAGACAAAAAAATTGATCCCGATGAAAAAACATTTTTCAACGTTTAATTAGCTTTTTAATAAGCACGCTACATCATGTTGGTACGCGTATTCCCCTTTCCGTGTCCAACTGGCGACACCGGTCTCGCGAAATCCACACGCTTTTGTATTACATCGGAATTCAACCAACCCGTGCTCAATTCGCGTCAATGCAAATGTTAAATGAGGTTTTACAAAATATTGCGCAATTGAATTGAACACGGTTTTTTAACTGGTCTGTTCGAAACAAGGCGTATTTACGTCTTCAATAGGAGAAAGTACTGTCCTGAAACTCGCACGGGTTTGTTTCGCTAATTCGCTTTCCAAATCCGTGTTCCATTTGAGGCACTCGTCACTATTCAAAGATAAATTAGCTGAGTGGTTAATAAAAAATAACGACGAAGGAGATGGCGGTGTCTATTCGCTCGCTTCGCTCGCTCACTCGACCCCGCGATCTCCTTTTAACCTAACCTGTCCGAGTCGGTATGCCCTAAGTCCCGAGCTCGCTTCGCTAATTTATCTTTGAATAGTTCTACATATATTTAAAGATACATTAGCGAAGTAGTGTTTCATGGCAGTACTGCCTCCTATTGAACACGGAAACGTAAATTTATACGTGGTAGAGCAATGCTGCAGTTATATTAGTAGTATAATTGTAACACGAATGGGTCGGCTCGACCGGGGGAGGACCACGCTCTCACAGAATACCAGTTTAAAATAGTAGCTTTTACGAGAGCTTTTAAGAGACTCTTTTTACTGGAAACGAGTCACTTTATCTTAATCCTTACGGGTGACAACGCATCTGCATTTTGATTTGCAATCGAGGATAGATGTAGATGTCTATGGGCCGCAGCAACCACTTACCATCAGGTGGACTGTGTGCTCGTTTGTCACCCTATCCTATAAAAAAAGTACGCATTGTTTCGAACAGACCAGTTACAAAACTGTGTTCAATTCAATTGCACACTATTTTGTAAAACCTCTTAACGTTTCTTGATCGCAAAATCGTGCTCAGTTGGCGCGAATTGAATACGGGCTAGTAAAATTCCGTAGTAATACAAAAGCGTGTGGATTTCGCGAGACTGGTGTCGCCAGTTGGACACGGAAAGCGAAATACGCTGTTATGACAGCTAAATGAAACGATAATTTCGTAAAAAAATGTTCGTTTCACAATCTTCCGATATAAGAACACGTTCAAGGAGAGCTGGTGACGTAAAGTGAGTGCAACGAACGTACCATCAAGCGATGCAGTACCAAAACTGGCTGCTTGAGGCGTAGGAGGCGACACGACAGCGGGGGGTGCGTGGTGCGGAGGGGGCGCTGGCAGCGGGGGGGCCGCGCGCAGCGCTTGCACGAAGCTGGGCGGCAGCTCGCCGCTCTCCGCAGACACCAAGCCACGTCTGCGCAGGCACAACAAACCCTCAATTCAGCTAATATTTACTACATACAAGAACAGTCACCGGGAGTAAAATCTGTACGACTGTGTGCAGTACGTGGAAGAAGGCACAAAGTACCTACTCATGGCAGACAAAGCTGGAGCCAATGTAGCTATGTTAGTTTTCCTATTCAATTGTATTTATTTATTTTTCTTATTTTCATTTACACCTCAACTTAGACGGATTTAGCATGATTTTGTTACATGCTGCTTGTATAATAGACTTCGGAAGTCATTTTCGAATGTTTTCATGATCCGAATGCTGGCACTAGCAGTTTACAGAAAAGTTGGTTTTACATAATATATTTTTTTGTATTTAATATTTCCATCACTTCTTGCTTTTTTCATGTTTCTCTGGTTCAAAATTAGTAATAAATTTTGAAGCACTTGCTGAATCCGATCCGAACCGGAATTCCTCATACCTATGTAACTTCGATGACAATGTAATATATGGTTCCATGGAGCCGATCTAATGGCTGACTCGGATGTTTGCCCTAGAAACGCCTATAAAATTTGTTAATATATTTTATATTTAAGTATATTTCATATGGGTTGTTTCTGACTAATCAGATCTTTTGTTTTTTATGAATAATCTAGTTTATAACTTTTTTAATCGGTAAAGACAACAGTGCACAAACCCCGAACTAATAGGATCTACGTAAATATTTGCTCCAAGGCCTACGCCGAGCAGTAGGATGTATAAAGGATAGGATGTAATTTAATTGTACTTTATGAATTGTTGATCATTTCAGGAATTAATAATAATAACATTGATTATTTTAATGCTACGAGGGTGACACTGAAAGTTCTTAGAAAATCAAAAACTGAATAAACTATCAAGTTATTACTTTTATTATATCTTTTCAAAATAGTGTCCATTTACATCAATACATCGCTGCATCCTCTGAGAACTGGGAACCACTGAGAAAAGCACTGTGCCCACTCGTCCTTAGCGGTCTCTTCGACGTCACTTTGAAACGCAGCCACTGATTCCTCGGCGTCCACAAAACGTTTTCCTCGAAGTTTTTCTTTATTTTCGGAAATAAGTAACAATCGCAAGGTGCGAGGTCGGGGTTATAGGGCGGGTGACCCAGTAATTACACGTCTGACGTCGCCAAGTAGTCGATTGTTTGCTTGGCGGTGTGCGACGAGGCGTTATCGTGATGAAGGTGGATCCTACTGCGAGGTCGTTTTTTACCATTCGGGGAAAGAATCTGGAGATTCTGGGCATTTTACACACGCGAACATGCTACATACAGCTGACCATGAGAGAAGCACGGTTTTTCTAAGTTTACCCACGCCACCTGTAACGTTTGCCCTTGCGCTTTATTAATTGTTATTGCAAAACTGAGCTTAATATGGAACTGCAACCTTTTCAATTGAAAAGGAAGATCTATGGGATTTATAGGAATCCGTGGTATAATAACATTTTCACCTTTTCCTGTCCCTGTCAAAATTGTAGCGCCGATTATGTTCCGTCCAAGATGTGTCACACGCAGCCTTGTCCCGTTACATAACCGAGGAGAATCTAAATTTCGCATTAGCATGACTGCCACGCTTAATTTTAATTGAAGCTTATGTGAGGGCACACCTGACAACTCTAGAGAATTTAGAAACTGCGGGATATGAAGTGCTCTGTTCTGCGTCCATAACTATGTCTACTGACAAATACTCTGTTATTTCTCTTGCTACTACGCTTAATATATCAGAATTTTTATTTTTTTTTAATTTATATTTTTTTAACGCTCGCAATTAATTCGGAATGACTCTGTACTAAATTACAAAAATCTCTCGTCAATTTAACGCAGCCCTCAGCATCCGTTTCCAACCGCCCATCGCCAATTTTTAATAGTGTGTCAGCATAGTTTCCAGCAGTGATATCAATATACAAATACACTCTCATATTCGTAGTTAAACTGAATTTTGTCACCTTGTTCCACAAAATAGACGACTTGAGGCATGCTTTAATTTCATCTGCAGGTGTGCCCTTTTGAATGACAGGTAAAGTTTGGCGAAAGTCACCAGCCAGTAAAACCACCATTCCTCCCATTACATCGGTATTGCTGCGCAAATCCTGAAGCGTTCGATTTAGTGCTTCTACAGCTTTTTATGCGACATTGTACTTTCGTCCCACACTAAAAGTTTGCATTGTCGTAGCATTATACGTCGTGCACTATTTTTGCTAAAGTTGCAGATCGGCGATTCTTCCTGGGCTAGATTTAGAGGGAGTTTTAAAACAGAATGTGCAGTGCGGCCCCCGCTTAGCAGCGTGGCGGCTATACCGGAGGAAGCTACGGCCACAGCAATGTTTTTATCTTTCCGTACTTGCGCTAATAATAAATTTAACAAAAATGTCTTCCCAGTTTCTCCAGGGGCATCTAAAAAGAAAAGTGCACCATTTCCAGATTCAATTTGTCCTAATACTTTGTCAAAAACTCGTTTTTGTTCGGGAAGCAAGCGGGGTACAAATTCGGCTACTTGCTGCTGCAAAGCCGGTATATCGTAGTTTGTTTCGCGTATAATTTCATCACTTAGTTCATTTTCGGTAGTATGTCATGTTGGCGTGTGTCTACTGTAACCTTCCCAAAATATCTTCCGCCATGTACTCTTTATATTTGTCCCACAATTCATGTGCATTAGATAGCCCGCAAGATGATATGAGAGTTGCATAAAGATCCCTAATTTTGGCTGGTGACTGGCACTGCACAGCTTCCTCCATGGTTTCATCCCAATGATTATCGTTTTCTAAAAGATGCAGAGCTTCACATGCTTCTCTATAAGTTGCGCATTCCTGACCGTTGACAGTTTTAAGGTCTTTATATGCTGTAGGACCCCGAACATAGTGCAGCAGCAATCGTAAACAGAAACATTCAAAATTAGTTACATGGACGGTATATACACGACCAAGGGCATCTGATGACTTTACACCGGGCCAATTTGCAACAGGCGCGCCTTGAATACGGCGTTTCCACTCCTTCCTAGATGTGTTCCAAGTATAATAGCGGGGGACTTCAGAATATAACAACGTTTTTTCAAAGGTGTCGCTTTGACAAAGTTGAAAAAAGGCTGTTAGTGTAGTTTTTGGCGGTGATGCAATTCTTTCTTGGAAATTTCTTTCGGTGAAATTTACACGCTCTCCATTTTCTAAGTGCACAGCAAGGTGAGTAATGTTGGGTGCCTTTCGTGTAAAGGAAAGCCAAGGAGACGCCACGCTGCCTCGTTACTGCTGACATAACGCCCTGCTTGAAAGGTCTGTACTTCATTAACGGGATTTGCCTCACCTTCACTCCTGAGATTAAATATTGCTTGGTCGCTTCCTTTATTTATGTACTTACAGATATACTTGATTGCGCGGACAGAGCTACATGCTTCTACATTAATGTGGGCATTAAACATTTTACATAGAATGGGCGAATACGGGACAATCCAGCTGTTATCTAAGGTTTCGAACGCTCCAGAGCGAGATTTGATTGTAACTTTCCTGCCACCATCTTCGGGAGCTCTGCGTCTGTATAAAGGGTAGCCATTGTCATTGTGCACTGTTTCTTTTAATAGCTGTTTAGGGAATTTCTTTGTACATTTTCCTTCTTTCATACATGGCGATATTGAATTTCGTGCTCCACATGGACCGTGAATCATATTTCGGACGATGGTATCATACAATTCTTTATCTTGCTCAGGATCCGGAATCTCGGCGCTTATTATGTCGTCTATTTGGCTGGGCCGCAACTTCTCTTTAAGCCATATTAGAATGTGGGCATGCGGTAATCCTCTTTTTTGCCATTCAATTGAATACATGAAGCACTGCACCTCTCCGAAAATTTTCCCTTTGTTAATTACATACATAAATTTTTGTACTTTTAATCTAAATACTCTAGCAACTAAATCGTGTCTGTCAGTACTTTTTTGGCCCGGCATTAGCTCCTCGGTTATTTCTTTCCATGCGGGATTGCAAGTAAAAGTAACAAAAAGATCAGGTCTTCCGTAAGTTCGTACATAGGCGAATGCGTCTTGTGTGTACTCATGTAGGTAGCGGGGACTGTTAACGAATGATGAGGGCAGAATTACCATTTTACCTAAATCTCTGGGGTTTACATTGGCGTCGCTAGAAACTGCATCTTGTAAATGTATATAATTCTCAACGCGCAGCTTTTTTTGATTTAAAGATATATAACGGAGACGTTCACTTTCTACCTTCACATACATGTCTATCAAAAATTGATGAAATAATTGTCTACACCGGGCTAAGAGATTAAAATCATTTTTTCGCAACATCATATGATACGTATCATATGATAAAAATCCATACATGATACTTTTTTGTTCGGAGTAGGCTCCTTTGTGACCGGGTTAATGAGTGGAATTTGAAAATGATAACCCTCTTGTCCTTTGCAATAAATCAATGGGTATTGCAGAGCGTCATAAAACTTGTGTGTATCGGCTACCCGTTGCAACGTATCATCACGTGCTCGCAAGACAATGTCTCGTGAAGAAAATTGATCACCACTAATTACGGCTGCTATTTCGTTTATCAAAGGTGCATTGTAGCGCCTTTCATGCTCTCCTCGAGGGGTCCGATCTGCGTGAATGACGACTTTATAATCCTCTTCAGGTAGGTTTTCTAAAGCAGTTTTAAATGTTTTGACTAAAATGTTACGTTCATGCAAGAATCTTTGAATTTTGAACACTGTGTCTCTCTCAACTCCCTGGATAAATTGGCAGCGACGGTCTACCTCAATTTCTTCGTCACCCATAAAATATACTTGTAAAAATTTATGCTGTTCGTTTTCAGCTGGAATAAGTGAACCTATTCTATCATAAATTTGCCCTTGCACCGTAAATGTAGGCGAAAATCCCGGCATTATTATTTCCCGGTCAACTCCGAAGGACGTCATTTGAAAGCATGAGTTATATTTTCGGATCCTGTTTAAAAAGCGCCGTGACTCATTAGCATCATATAAAAAG